TTATATTCAGCCGAGACTTGTAGACCTTTATAGCAGACTATTGTGTTACAGTAAAATCGATTTCGAGGGGAGCTCTCACGAAAACCAAAGAGCGACCTCAGAGTTCAATCTTTTTCACGGTCTATATTTAGCGACAGCTAAGTTACTATTAATAGTCTAAGCTTAAGCCAATAGGAAAAACAAGGTATCTACTTGGCCGTGCCAGACCCGCAGCTAAATCTAGAACGTTACGCTTCGATGGCGATCGATTGCTCCAGCGATTGCACCACGAACAGAAACCTAACTGGAAACATTACTGTACTATAAAAGCAGTCAAGTCCAACGTGTGCTAGGATACACACAAGTTTCCCATCTAAGGAGGAGGAGAAGCAGATTATAAAAAAACTACCGCAGAAAAAGTTCCATTAGCGAAGACAATGGTTTACAAAGTCTGCAAGGGCGGAGTGAGGTCTGGGAACACACTCCGTGGCCTCCACACTCTCAACTCTTACAGGTAAGCAATATTCATATATCGTCGGAAAACTGTCAGAATGCCCTTAGCCCAGAAAGTAAAACTTTACAGGAGAGAGAAAAAGCTGTTGCATTCTTTTGAATTAAGAATAACTGCATTATGTACCTTTTCGTGCTTTTTTCAACATTTAGAATATGAATTTCGCGGAAAAAAAATTACGGGCACCTCCACACTTAAGAAAAGGGTTTCAACGTTTTTGGCTTAATACATTTAAGTTCTGGCCGACATTTATCAAAATATATAAAACCTGTGGTTATTGTCGGTCAGCTATTCAGATGAATCAACCCTTTCGCTGCAAAGCCAGCTCCACAGTTCTAGCAAAGAGCTCAAGGCAGTCTCATGCCTGGGGGTGAAGGGGTTTAGCCCAAAGTTCGGAAAAATTTGTTTCATAGCCGTTTCTTAATCTGCATTATACTGCTCGTGGGGGAAAGAGCTATCAGATAGGTCAAATTCTGTGCTACCTTTTTGGTGAACTTTCGTCTTTTTTAAATTATAAGGTTTTAAAAATAGTACTATGTTTTATTTTTGATAGTCTTGATACTGCTCATATGGACTGTGCCACCACTAATGCTGCTTATGGTGATGGCAGTGATGGTGGTTGTGGTTGTGATGGTGGTGGTGATTATATTGCTGGTGGAGATGATGATACAGTTGATGATGATGATGATGATGATGATGATGATGATGATGATGATGATGATGATGATGATGATGAT